TGCTTATGTAGGTGCATATGTACCGTGTGGCAGGCTCCAGGGTTCAACCCACCAAAACCAACCCCCCAAACAAATTCAAGTCCAAACTAGTCCCTTTTTTGGGGGGTGGGGGTTTCAAGACCCACTCTCTCTGTGTAGCCCTGGATGTCCTAGAACTCACTTTGTAGACCAGGCTGGCCTCGAACTCAGAGATCTGCCTGCCTCTACCTTCTCAGTGCTGAGATTAAAGGTGAGCGCCACCATGCCCAGCTAGTCCCTGACTCTTTTAGTCTTTGCTTTGTTGGGCTCTTGGTCATCTGTTCTCTTCACAGGGCTTGCAGGCCTTCACCAGGGACTGGAAGGCCTTCCAAAAGGAAGGCAGTTGGGTACACAGTGTGCCCCCACCTCGGTGCATCTCCCCGTTATTCCTGTTCATGTCACCCACACAGGCCCAAGGCCCTCGAGGGGCCACACACCATTTGGAGTGATCTTCTGTGGCACTGAAGGTTGGTCCAGATGGGCCAGAGAAGCCCGTCTGATCCACGTCAAGAATCTGGTGCGTCCCAGAGCAGTTGGAAAGGAGGGTGCCTCGAGAATTTGGCCAGAACTGGACCTGTAGGTCGCTGTTGAGGGCTGCTGCCAACCAGCCAGAGTACAGGTCTGCAGGCAAAGGAAGGGGGAGGGCTGCTGTTAGAGTCCTTAGGCCAGCATCTTTCTAGGAGCTCAACTGCCTAATTCTGAACCTAAATAGCCCTTACCAACAAGCCAAGTCACATCTGCAATCCTAACGCTCTGAAAATTGGAACAAGAGAATCTCAGGTGGTCTAGCCTGCAATGTACGGTGAGACCTTACCTCAAAAACAAAAGGATAGGCTGGGCATGGTGGCCCAAACCTTTAAAATCAGCCCTCAGGAAGCAGAGGCAGGTGGGTCTCTGTGCGTTACAGACTAGTCAGGGATATACATTGAGACCCTATCTCAAAAACAAAAACAAAAACAAAACAAGAACAAGGTAGTCCTTACCAGAGGACCTACGCTATTTCACAACCCTCTTAGGGGAAAGCATCAATATTCTAAAGTTTCAGATGAGCAAACAGGCTCTGGTCATATCATAAACCGCACATCCAGAACCAACACTTGAACCTAGGTCTGCTGGCCGATCTTGAGCTCCTATCTCCGCGGCCATGGCGCTGGGATTACAGATATGTGCCGTCTGCCCAGCTGGCCTGTTGAATGTTTACTACTCACGGCTGCTACTGTAATATGACTCGCAGAGACACTGGCTCTAAATGTGCCCTGCCCTCAGGCTTGTGGCTGTCAGAGAAAGAGCTCTTTACCCCTCAACACCAGGACTCACCATCTCCAAATTTCCCAGCCTTGGCAAAGCTCTGGAAGGTGGCCCCAGCTTGTGACGTGAGTGTCTCACTATTGTTCCAGGGCTCATGGAGGACATGGTAACCCTTGATCACCTTCTGTAGGTCAGGTAATTTCTCGGCAAAGATGCCTTCCAGCTTGTGATCATAGACCAGGGGATAGGTATAGGTTAGCTGCCTGCCTGGAAGACAAGGCCACGGGGAAAAAAACCGTGAGACTGGTTACACCAAGTAGTTTGAGAATTTCCACACCTCAACGATTCCACTCACCAATCTCGAGAAACTGGGAGAAGGGGAAGGACACGCAGAGTAGGGTCTGGCCATAGGTTTGAGCGTTAGGAGGCCAGCTGTAGGCACCAGAGGACACAGGGGGTGGGAAGCGCGGCACACTGTGGATCAGCCAGAAGCCCCCTTCTTGGTCCAGGAGCACAACACCTAAAGCACAAGAAGGAGGTCAGAGAAGCTACTGGAAGTAGGCCCCTCGAGCCAGCTCATCTGCAACCAGGTACACGGTCTCGGAGGGCTGGAGTCTTAGGAACAGACAGGAAACTCCAGCCAACGGTTGGATGGGGCAGATCCCCCCCCACCCACGCTTCCTGTAGGTCACAGATTAGTTTGGGTAAATTTACAAGAAATTCAGAGCGGCTCCAGGACCACCAGTCCAAGCCTCACCCTTTGTATGGCCACGGCTGGAAGAGTCCGGAGCTGAGCTGGGATTAGGAGGCTGGTCGTTGTAGAGTAGGAAGGCCAGCTGGAAGAATGCAGAGAGACCACGTAACTATCCCCCCCCCTTCCCCGTGGGACCCGCCACAGTAATCCAGCCCCGGTTCCCACAGCACTCGGTCACCTGGCTGGAGTTGCCTCGGTACAACGGCAGCAGGCTACGGCCCACGGCTCCCTCCGAGTTGTTGATGTACCCCACACCGTCGCGCCAACCATCGGAGCTCTGATCCATGTATTTGTACTTCAAACCCTTCCATGAACTATCCCCAGACCCGCTGTCCGCTGGCAGCTTGTATACCACGAACCTGGAGGGCAGGGAAGACAGGCGGGAGAGTGAAGGGATCTGAGGTTTCGCCGAAAAGCGCCTCAATCCCAGTGCCCGCGCCGGTGCCCACGCAGCTTGAGGGGACAGTCGGGCAGGCCGCTCCTTGCTCACCAGTCCACAGGCTGCCCGGAGTCTCCATAGCAGCTCAGGGCTTCGGCAGGGACCCACAGCAGCGCGGCCAGCAGCAGCGAGCTCGGCGCTGCCATGAGGCGGCAGCGGCGGAATCTGTGGAAAGACCCAGGACCGCCGGGTCACGGGGTCCAGACTCACTTCCCCCCTAAAGCCCGCTGAGACCTGGGTGGGGGTTTCGCAAGGGTGAAGGCGACGCCCGCAAGGCCCCGAGCACCGAGGCGGGGCTTCCTCTGGCGAGGTCCCTCCCACGGACCCCGCCCCCTTCAGGCCCCACCCCGCCCCCCAGTTTCTGGCGACTCAGCCCCGGGTAGGCGCCACCCTTGGACACACCCCGCCCTTAGGCATTGTCTGTCACATGATTCTTCTAAGGCTCTCCAATTTCTGATTTTTTTTTTTAAACCCCATTACCGCTCTATAACGCAGGCACATTTTGGAGAAGGTATTTTTTGCCAGCATGTATGTATGTCTGTGTATCATTTGGGTGCCTAAGCAGACCCAATTTTTCTTTCCCTTTCTCTTTTTTTATGGTTTTATGGTTTTAATTTTTTATGGTTTTAATTTTTATTTATGAATTTTTATTTATGGTTTGTTTGAGACAGGCTCTCACTATGTAGCCCTGGCTGACCTGGAGCTCACAGAGATCTGCCTCTGAAAAACTGTTTTAAAAGCATGCACCAAATACCCAGGTTTTTTTTTTTCTGACAATTTTCTGATTCCTTCTCTGACCTCTTAACACTGTGGTTGACCCTTGCATTCCTGATCCTCCTGCCTCTACCACCCAAGAGTTCAAATCACAGAGTCGCTCAACCACATTGTATATATGGGGAGGCCAGGACAATTTGTGGGAGTTTCCCCTTCCACCTTATGGGGCTTGGGGCTCGAGCTTGACAGGAGAAACCTTTACAGGCTGAGTCTTCTTATTGGTTATTATCTTTTTGAGACAGGGTCTCATTGTAAGCTCAGGCTGCCCTGGAATTCTCAACCCTTGCTCAGCCTCCTGAGTGAGGGCTGAGATTATAAATATGAGCCATCCTTCCAACTTCTTAAATATTAGCTATGTGCATCTGCTTGTGCCCTCGTGAGTTTTGCATACCATGTTCAGGGTGGGCAGATGTCCAGAGGTGTTAGACCTCTGGAGCTGGACTTACAGGTAGTCATAAGCACTCTTTGGGTGCTGGGTATGAATTCAGGGCCCCTAGAAGAGCAGTAGGTGCTTGCGACCACTGAGGCGTATCTCTACCCTTGCCCCTTTCACTCCGTAGCCAAGGGTAACTTCCTCCCTGTCTCACCCTCGAGATTCCCAGTGTGAATGAGTCACCACACCCAGCTGGCTCACCCTTGCTTACTTAGACACTTTGCTTGTTTTGTTTGTTTGTTTGTTTTGAGACAGGGTCAAGACAGGGTTTCTCTGTGTGGCTCTGGCTGTCCTGGCTGGCCACTCTGTAGACCAGGATGGCCTCGAACTCACAAAGATCCGCCTGCCTCTACCTCCCGAGTATTGGGATTGAAGGTGTACGCCACCATACCCGGTTTGGCGCATTGCTTTCTGCATCCTCTCTCTGTTCTGCAAGTTTTCTGGCTCTCCTTGGGACACTGACCAGAAGTCACTTTGGGTTGTGGCGAGGCAGGAATACAGGGACTGTTGAGCACTCTGCCATAGCCTGTAGCACCATAGCCCTCGCTGGTCTGGAACTCACTACAGCTGAAGAAATCCACCTGCCTCCTGAATGCTCGGCCTAAAGGCCTGCAGCACCATGCTTCTCCACCTTCCCCCCACCTTTTTTAAAAGACAGAGTCTCTATATTATGTAGCCCTGGTTGTCCTAGAACTCACTCTGTAGACCAGGCTGGCCTCAAACTCAGAGATTCACCCAGCTCTGCCTCCCAAGTACTGGGTTTAAAGGCATGTACCTCCATGTCCAGCTTTTTGCTTTTGTTTTTATTTTTGAGACCTGAAGACAAAACAAAGCGAGTAAACAACAAGATCTCTGAGTTCAAGTGAAGACTTTGGTCTTCAGAGTGAGTTCCAGCCAGAGCTACACAGAGAAACCCTGTGTCAGAAAGACAGACAGACAGAAAGGCAGAGCACTCAGGAGGAAGAGGCAGGACGATAAGATGACCTCTATGAGTTTGATGCCAATTTGGTCCTAGGGCTACATAGTAAGATCATATCTTAAGAAAAAAAGGGAGGTGGGGAGGAGGCAGATGACAGTTGTCCATGTCCCTGGGTTGACAACAGGTGATCTTGATGGAGAAGGGCTATGAAGATTGCACTGCTTGGGGGGGGGTCATCAGAAGCGAATGTGTTTTGGACGATGTAGGGGGTGGGTGTACAGAAGTCTCTCACCTGCTGGGGGCCCAATCCTCCTAATTTCCAGGCCCATGTTACACTGAGGCTGACACCAGTTTTATACAGGAGAATTTAATAATACCAACGACAATCCCAGCTGAAAGACCGCGTGAAGGCCCCTTCTAGACTCTGGGAACTCTCACCCCACTCCATAAGACTCAGGGTCACTCCTGCACTGGTAAGGGTCCATCTGAGTTTATTTATTGGTGACTTGTCTTGCTGGGTCTGTGGGGCCATCAGATGTTTCTGTGTGGCTCCCTGGGGACGTGTGAGGATTCTGTTGAAGGCTCCTTTGCATTGTCTACGGGTCAGTTCTTGATCTGGGTAGGTCTGTAGGGCTATAAGTCCAATATTGGCCCATCCTTTGAAAGACCATCCTTGGATCCACTCTTGGGTCTGTGCAGGACCGGAGCTCAGAGGTGACGCTTCATATGCAAAGCTAAGTGGTCAGAGCGCGAAAAGGCACGTGGGCAGAGTCCGCAGCAGAAGGGTCGCTGGCCAGTGTGCTTCCGGTAGTGGCGCGTCAGTTCATCAGAGCGAGCGAACCTCCAGCCACAGCCATCCCAAGAGCAAGCATAAGGCTTCTCTCCTGAAGAACGGGGAGTTGTGAGTACCTTGGTCCGAACATCCAGCTCCGATTTGTATATTTGATGAGGTGGAGTCAGGTCTTAGGTTTATTCATCTAGCCCGCACAGTTTAAAGAAGGACGCACAGCCCTGCCCTCTGTGAGCCTGGCCCTTTCCTGGACCTGCAACTGCGATCCTGGGGTTTTCTCATTTCCAGTCCACTTCCTTTGTTTTAGTCTCCTGCCTGAGACCTTATGTGGCTGCACCTTCGTTCTTTGTTCTCAGTGTTCCAGCTATCTCACGCACTGGCAGAGCCTCCCGCTGATGTCCAGTCAAGGCCCTGTCTCCAGTGATTCCCCTCTTCCCATATACACCTGGCACGTGGGCCTGCCGTGCTCGGGAGGCCCACAGCTGTCTTACACTCCTGGTATGACTTGATTTCTCTTCCTATCCTGTCTTCCAGCATTTCCTTCTCTTTTTCCAGCCCGCCTTATGTCCGGATCCCAGACGCTTCCAACCGGAGCGTGCACGTGAATATTGCCCATACCCTGAGTTCTGGTATTCCAAGCTTGTTCCCCCCCCCCCCCCGTCGCCCCTCTAGTTCCTCCCCTCTTGCTACTCTCATCCTGCATTCTGCTCCTCCGCCCATCTCTAAAGCAGGTCTTACACATCAGCTTCTAACCCTGAAGTCCCCAAAATGTTCCCCAGGTCCTCTGTTTACACCCATTTACTTATCTGTCTGTCTATTTATTCATTTATTTTTGAGATAGGATTTCACTATGAACCCCTGGCTTCTGGAATTCGCTATAATAGACCAGGTTAGTCTAGAAGTCACTGATACCCACCTGCCTCTGCCTCCTGACTTCCGGGGTTCGCCCGCCCACATTTGGGTCTGGAATTGCCCCTATAGACTTTAGCCAAGAGTCTCAGGATCCCACTTCGGGCCTCTAGCTAAGGGGTCGCCCACCCTCTGGGCCCACCCTTCGCTCCGCTTCCGGCTCCCGGCTCCGCCCCCACCGCTCGGCTCCGCCCTTACCTGTGTGCGTGCGCAGGTGCGCCTTCAGGTGCGAGCTTTTGGTGTAGCTCTTTCCGCAGCCCTGGTGCCCGCAGGTGTGTGCCGCTTGCCTCTTTCGTGCCAAAGCTCGCCGGCTGCGCTTGGGCGGCGCGGCTCCCGGGGTCAAGCCTGCGTCTCCCGCGAGCGCGGTGGCCCCGAGTTCTGTGCCCACCGCGCCGGGCCCCAGACAATTCAGGAAGGAAGGGGGCGCGGCGGGGCCGGCAGAAGGCGCCGTGAGCCCGCGAAAGAGCTGAAAATGCCCTTGGTACTGTGGCGCGGGGTACAGCGCAGGGTACCCTGACAGCAGCCCGTAGGGGGCGCTGGGAGCCGTGGGCACCCCGAGCCCGGCCCGCGGGAAGAAACCGCCTGCCGAGCCCGCTCGCGAATCGGAGAATGCAGGCTGCGCCTTGGGCACAGATCCCGGGGCCAGGTCAGGGGCCACGAAGGGCTCAGGGGCTGGGGCTCGCGGGGCGGAGTGCGCCCAGCCCGTGTGCTCCTCGGAGCCCAAAGACCCGGCCACCAACCCTGGGCCACTTGCATAGGCGCCCAGAGCCTCGGGCGCCGCGTACTGTGCCACCGGAGCCCCGCTGGGCACCAGAGCACAGGTCCGGGGAGTGCCTGGCGGCTCGGGACCTGGGAAGTTGGTAAGGAAAAGATCCGGATCCCAGGCACAGGTCACGTCCCTCTCATCGTCCTCGTCCTCTCCGTGAGGGGTCTGCGATTTCAGACTCACGTGAAGGGATGGTCCCGTGAGATCCGGGGGACCCGGGCCCAAATCCTGTGTCTCGTCGGGGCGCCACCACTGCGGGAGGGAGCGCACTGCTTGAATGGTGTGCACCCAGTACCTGGCCCTGATGCAGTCCCGGCTGGAAACACCGTTGGGGCAGGTTGGTCGAGGGGTTTGCGTGCCTATCGCTTCCCCCACACTGTTCCCCTAACCCCCATCTCAGCTCCAGACAAGTCCATTAGGTCTGGCTAGAGACAGATAAGACACTTACCAAGAACAGCATTCAGGATGGGGGAAGGGGTCGCAGAATTCAAAATGGGAGGCTAAGGGGCAGACTTGACTCTCCTCCGGCCCTTCCCTGCCTTTTCACACCTTCCAACAAGGGTTACATCTCAAAGCCTGGGAATCCCAGGAAACCTTTATCTGGGACTTTGTCTGAGGCTAGCCTCTTAAGGCGGTGAGCTCAGAACTCAGCTTCCTGTTACAGAAACAGGCCTCACCTTGCTCTCAGATCCTTTGAACAGTACCCCCAAGCCAGGCTCCCCCTCCCAAGAAAAAACCCTGAACAGAGGACACAAAAGTAAGATAGAAGCCCGACCCCCAAGCGCTATGCCCTAGGTCACAGCAAGACCACCTGCCCGCCCCCCACTGGCCCCACCTTGAGGAAGTCCTCTTGGGTGTCCAGGAACTGGCCCAGCGTGGCCAGTGTACTGACAGAGGACAAGGCAGTCTCAGCTGCGGCCATGACTGGCTGATGTCCACCCTGGGCCTCAGGCCTCTTCTGCCTCATGAGCTATGAGGTTTGGAGGGCTCCTTGGAGGGCTCCTTTCTGTCCTCGTCTGATTGGCTGTCTTCCCTGATAAGACACAGGCAAGGCAGGGGGGTGGTAGCGATATGTGTGTTACTTTCAAGGGAACAGAGACCTCACCTTGGCCTGCTTGGGAACGGGTCCCTGAAAACCAATTCTGTATGTAAACTAAGTCAGAAGTCAAGGGATAGGGGTTCCAAAGTTTTGGGGTTCAGGTAAGGGCCTGATTACCACTTACCCTCCCCACCTCCCCCAGAGAAATGAGAGGCTTCCCTGGTCTGGGCACAAGTTTCCTTGGAGAAGGGGTAGACCAGGAAGGATAGATTTCTTGGGAAAGGACTTTGGGACCCTTTGACCTCCAACTGGGTTACTGTACCCCTCTATCCTCCCCAACAAACAGCACCAACGGTGGTGCTAATGGCGGGACTTGGCACCAGCTCTCTTTCAAGCATTATCAGACAAACCAGATGTTTTAAGCTGCTATCAGGTAGGGGGCCCAGAACAGCCATAGCTCTATCCCTCCTTGAGCAGAAAAGGCTGGGGGTTGGGGCCACACATTATCTTGACTTTGAATTGCCTGAGTTGTATTGGGGTCTGAGCCATTTAGCAAGAGGGAGCCCTTCAAATCAGTCCAAGCTTGGAGACTGAGGACCTTCACTGGAAACTCCACAGAGCTGACGGGAATGCTATAAACCCTGCAGTGTGGGTCCTCTGGGTGGGATAGGGCCATGAGATGGAAGCACAGCCCGTGAGCCATTCAAGAGACCCCAACCCTGACTGGGCCCAGCCCCCATGGTAAAGAGCCTGCAATTCTCATCCTCCATTCTGGTGACACGGGAGTCAGGATAGGGAAATGGAGTGTCACTTATACGGTCACACATGCACCTCACACATGCACCGTCCTTGCTTGGTATCCACAGGGAACAACAAATCCACTATAGAAAATGGCACCTAGCCAGGCATGGTGGTGCACGCCTTTAATCCAGCACTCGGGATGCAGAGGCAAGCTGATCTATGTGAGTTTGAAACTGTCCTGGTCTACAGAGCTAGTACTAGACAGCCAAGGCTACACAAAGAAATCCTGTCTCAAAAAACCAATAATAATAAATAAAAACAAACATGTTCACTGAGTCTACATACACCCATTTATAGGCTTTAGTAATATTGTTTTTTGAAAGAGGCTTCACGTGTCCCAAGATCTCTCTGTTGTGGTACCTGATACTTGGTGCATAACATCTATCATCATCCTCACACTTGGGCCTTGTGACATTCCTTCAGAGGGAGAGAACTCTGCCATCGGTGCACAGTCTGGGGTGGATAGTACGTGTTCACGTCTCAGGAAGAGTTCACTGTGTAGCCAGGCTGGCCTAGAACTTGTGATATCCCTGAGCCCCCTGACTGCCCTTTTACATGGGTAAGTGCCGCCACACCCTGCTTTCCCATATACCTGTGAGTCACCTGCGGATTCATTACACTACCTAATGCACTGTAAGTGTTAGATAAATAGATAAGTGTTGTTGTGTTGCTATTGGTTTGGCCTAGCAATTTGGGATACAGTCAGGTGAGCCTGCAGGCAGAATTCATAATGACAGTGGTGGTTGGTGAGGTAGCCACACAGCTATGTGGTTCCACTTACGCTCTGGTCACACCAAGCAGACTCGTGAGAATTCTCAAATGTGATGTCTCTACAATTATTAAAGTCGCACCTTCCCATCAAACACAGAAATAGCCTCAGATACAAAAATAAACACGAGGGTTTCAGATATGGCTCAGTTAATAGAGTGGTTGCTGGCTGTGGAATATTCTTTTACACTGTAAATATCCCTGTGATTGGTTTATTTTATTTATTTATTTGAGAAAGGGTTTCTCTGTGTAGCTTTGGAGCCTGTCCTGGAACTTGCTCTGTCTGTAGATCAGTTTGGCCTCACACTCACAGAGATGTACCTGTCTCTGCCTCCTGAGTGCTGAGATCAAAGGTGTGCACCATCACCACATAGCATGATTGTTTTATTAAAGAAAATGCTGGGAAAAAGAAGGGTGGAGTATGGAGTTGCCAGCAGACACAGAGAGAAGCAAGATGGGCATACTGAGAAAAGGTATCAAGCAACATAGCGAAGCATAGATAAAATATTGGTTAACATAAATGTAAAAATTAGCTCATAATGAGCCTGTGCTATTGGCCAGGCATTTATAATTAAGCCTCTGTGTTGATTTGGGAGCTGCTGGCAACATAGAAACTTCCACCTGTAGCTGGTAACAATAAAGCTCTGGGTTCTATCCTCAGTACTTAATAAACTGAGCAAGTAATCCTAGCACACAGGAGGTGGCTGCAGGAGATTCAGAAGTTCAAGGTCATCCCCAGCTACGTAATGAGTTCAAGGCTAGCCTGGAATATATGAGACTCTTTCTCAAAAACAAACAATGAGCCAGCCATTCCCCCTCCAGGTCTATATCCCAGAGAATCAATAACAAGTCTTCAAGCAAACGCTCATGCACCAGCGTTCACAGCAGCACCAAAAGGAAGAGATGGTCTGAATGTCTATGGACAGGCAGGTGGTACAGAAGAATGCTCCCCGGTACAGGGAGGAGTGTCCAATAATAGCACAGAATGAAGTGTTGATGCATATAGCTGGGCAGTCCTTGCTGGGCAAACATAAAAACCTAAGTTTAGGCCAGTAGTGGTGGCACACACCTTTCATCCCAGCACTCAGGAGGCAGAGGCAGGAGGATCTGAGTTTGAGGTCAGCCTGGTCTACAGAGTGAATTCCAGGACAGCCAGGGCCACACAGAGAAACCCTGTCTCAATACCCCCCCCACAAAAAAAAAACCTTAAGTCTTGACACTGGCCTTTAAGGTGTACTGTGGGAGCCCACAGTTTTGAATCCGTTCCATCTTGATTAAAGGTCAGAGTTCAAACCTATTCTTGCTCCTCAAGGCCAAATAGCAGGATCTTTGGTCAAAGGTGTAGCTACTGGATGCTTTGCTCCTCAAAGGCCAGACAATAAGATTTGACTCAGAGTGTGGTTACAGGTGTTTTTGAGTTGTAAGGAGGTAATTACACGTGCTTCTTGCTTGTTCCTTGTGTTATGGTAAGGAAGTCTTTTGCCCTCCCCTTTTGATTGGGGTATATAAAGATTGTGCGTAATACTTGAGGCGGTTGCAGGACTCAAGCCCTCCCAACTCTGTTCTTTTGTCTAGTCTATTTCTTCCCTCAGTCCTCATCCCCTTTTCAGGCATGTACAGGGTGACCAATCCTGACATTGTAACGTGGAAGAGAGGAAAGCCCTGTAAACAAAAATACCAAATGCTAGTCAAGGCCTTTCAACCAGCTTCAGTGACTGCCCAGGCTCCCTTACGTTCTAAAGTCCAAGGATCACTGGGTCCCTTCTTCAAATGTGGTGAGGAGGGTCACTGGGCCCAGCCTTACCCTACCCCCCACCCTGCAGGTCACCCCGACCATGTTCAAAGTGCCGCCAAGAGGGGCATTGACTGTTGATTGCCCCGGTGTCCCTCGCAGCATGGGGACATCAGATTGGACTCCCCGGGCCTGACCACTGCCGGCTCCAACAGGGAGCTCCAGGCAGTCATTATGATATCAGGACAGATCATTTCCTTCCTCCTGAACACTGGGATCACTTACTCGGTCCTGACAGTTTGGGGTCACTTACTTGCTCCTCCTTTCCCTATTGTTGGGGTAAGAGGACAGAGGACAGGCTCATAAACCTCACCAGACCCCATCACTCCACTGTGTTTTCAGGGACGTTCCTCTCACTCATTCTTCCCTGGCGGTGCCAACCTGTCCTGTCCCATTGCTGGGGAGGGATCTTCTAGCCAGAGTGGCAGGCATCTATTTCCTTTGCTCCCTCCAACTGCCTGACCTCAAGCTCATCGTCAGCCCTGCTCCTCCTCCTAGCCACCCAACCTACTGGTTCCAACACTACTTCCACACTCTACTTCCTTTGCCAGCGTTTTAGGTAGACCCCCCAAGTCTGGGATACCCAAGAACCTTCTGTTGACAAACACCATTTCCCCATCATCGGGCAATTACAGGGCCCTGCCTGGTACATTATATTATTCTTTTAAAGCGGGTGTGTGTGTAGACGAACACAGGACAGACAAGACGCGCGAAAGGAGGAGACACAGACACGGGGCTCCCACGTGGGTGCACTTTAATGGGGGGGAGGGGGACACGATAAGGGACAGGTGTGCAGGACACACAAGGGTAAAGGGCAAGAGAGAGCGAGACCTCGTGGAAGCTCGCTTTTTAACGGGAAGCGCGAGGGTATTTGGGAGAAATGACCTACACCTGTGAGCGCCCCCGCGCGCAGGTATCCGTAATCCAGGAGGAGTCTGGGAGCTGTAGTTTCCAAAAGGAACAACACATTACCCAAATCCAGTACCCATTCTCCACCCAGAGCCTCAGGGACCTTAGGCTTAGCATCTCTGACCTCCTAGGAAAGAAGCTACTTCATCAAAAAAACTAACTTTCAGGTCACTCATCACCATCTTCTCCCCCCACAGCCTCCCCATCTCTTAACACATAAAGGTGCACACACTCCACATCCCTTCTAGGTTCTCTCTCCTGGGGGGCACTAGTACAAGATGCCATACTTTCCAATCATGCCCACCCCTCAATATCTCAAATCTTCTTCCCCAACCAAACATCGACTACTCTCCATCTTATTCTTTTTTTAATTTATTTTTATTATTTAATTAAAAATTTCCCCCTCCTCCCATTTCCCTCCCGCTCCCCCCATCCTCCTCCCCCTCCCTTTCCAGTCCTAAGAGCAGTCAGGGTTCCCTGCCCTGTGGGAAGTCCAAGGTCCTCCCCCCTCCATCCAGGACTAGGAAGGTGAGCATCCAAACAGACTAGGCTCTCACAAAGCCAGTCCGTGCAGTAGGATCAAAACCCAGTGCCATTGTCCTTGGCTTCTCAG